AGTACGAAGCTTTCACTTGCATCGTGGAAGTCGATGTCGGTCTCTTCCTTGACTAAGAAGGACAGGGAGAAAAGAATATTTAAATACTATGTTAATTGTGTGGAGTTTGAGACACCCAAATAGTTCTAAGAACTAATCAAGTGGGCGTCCCAAAGTAAATAATTAAAAAAAAAGGAAAACAATGTTAAAAACAATTTAAATAAAATAAAAAAGTATTACTTTTCATACTACTACTAAGAATTAAAATTTATTTACACAGACTATTTAAGAATTAAGAGTAAATGTCAATAAAAATCACAGATTATCGAAAAAGGTCAAGGACACGGTCAAAAATCGATTTGGTTCATTTTTTGCCTGTGGGTAGCCTTAGCTAGTAAACAAACGGAAATGGGGTTAGATTTTTGAAATATGCACTTTAACGGGAATAATTTGTTTTAACATTTCCGGGGGTAAATAGCTCAAATTTCACCAAGCGCGATCCTGAAATTATGCACTTTTCGGGCACTTGTCATGCTAACAAAAATGTAACGGAAGGACTTTTCTAGTCATAGAAATATTGAGTTGGACTTGCATTATCGAGACAAAGTGATAGTTTTTGTCTCATGTTATTCTTGGAGGAGCTACGTCCCTATTAAGAGACGACATCTTCGGCCTTTCGAAATTAAGGCAAAGGTGGCCTAGAATAACTTGGGAAAAATACATGTGGTAGTGTCTCAACGTTCACAATAACACTACCAAGAAGCCTTGAAAGATAGTTCTTTACGATGTGGGTTTTATTTCTTTGGGACCTTTGACTATCAAAAGATGACCACCAGCCGAATTTCGGTTAAATTACCATGACGCCATAATGAGATGCATAATAACAAAATTAAACGCGTCGGACACAAATAACTGTTTTGGTCAGTTATATCTTCACTGGCCGTTAAAATGACTAGAAACATATTAAAATGTCTATAACTACACTTGATTTTTATATACGGAGACAGGACAAACAATTTTCGACTTTTGCTACCCTTTAAGAATCACGCCATAATTCTGCACAATTCTACACAATTCTACGCACAACAGGTTAAACAGTTGAATTGCACTCAAAAGGTTAAATTTGGCACAAAACCGTTAGTTTCCGTTTACTTCTCATCCAGTGAACATGGATTCGAGCATTTGCATCCCTCCTGCGCCTTCTGCACTCGCCAGTTTCGAATTTACTGAAAATCGTCCAACACAAAGATAAGGAGGTTTCACAAGCAATGGTGAGCTCGAGTGACTAAAATCCGATATGTAGGACTCTGCTGTCACGCAACGCCTTCATGTAAATAATACACGCACCGCTTTTATAATCAGTAGATCAGTTATTCGTAAAACGTTCAGTGCTCAGTTACTTGGAAGAGCAGGTACACTCCTGGACTAATTGTGTGAGTCGTGCGATGAATGGCTTTTTCCTCTTCTGAGGTGAAATGTCAGAAATATCCAGCCCAAGGTCGATGCACATGTCTCTTAGCCTATCCACTCTTAAGGTTGTGAATGTACGTTTAGATTGAAAGATACAATCGGATGTTGAATAGCCACATCTCTCATCACATTTGCACACACTGCAGATAGATGACTCTCAGCTTCGGCGGAAATTTCGTCCTTGTCGACGCTCTCCATGTCCACTTCTGAGATTTCACTAGCTTTTGCTCGGTTACCGGCGGCTGTAACTTCTAATCGCTTCTTTGCTGAAAGACGGCTGAAGAAGCCACTAATCTGCTGCGACGTAAGGACTTCATCAGGTTGAAATCGACGTCCCCCCGCTTGGTCTCTTGCTAGGCTCATGGTTTTCGAAACTTCCTGTGGATCGCTTCTCCGACCACTATACTCCCCTTTTTGAAATTGGTCAGTTAAGAATTCGGTCTGTTTCCTTGTAAAACGCACCTTTTTCTTAATTGTCTTCAGGGCCCAACCCATTGGAAGAGGCGGCAAGCCGTCTCTCTTTGATCGTGCAGCAACTTGAACGCTTGGTATTCGACTACGTCCCTCCATCAGCCTGGAAGAATATTCTCTTTTAGCTCTATCGTAGAGAGTTTCCTGTTCGAGCATCATTTGGTGTTTTCCAGTATCTAGGTGTGTCTGGAGGTTTGCAAAGCGACTGTAGGCTTTTACATATCCTTCTTCTGGACACGGGAAAAGCATGTCATCTGGCTTATATTCCCCAATACAGCTTCGATCTTGGTTTTCGCTTTCAGTTAAGAAATTTGCTTTGACAGAGCTTTCCTTAATATGTCGGTGTCTCACAATCTTGAACGTCGGTGCGCCACTTGGACTCTGCGATGGCGAGTCCTGGATTTCCAATTTTTCGGGCTACTTCATGGCTCCTTCGAACTTGGCCCATGGCACTACTTTACCGGAACCCACATTGAATGCTCTCCACACTCATGTGTCACTTTCATCGTACTCAAAATTGTTGAGTAAGCTTATGCCATCCCATTTGATATTAAAGGTGTTTGACGGTTTGGCAGCAACATAACTTGCTTTCTTTCCTGTGGTTTCTTGGCCAGATTCAATGGCTGTTTTGAACTGTAGAGCGTTGATGATATCATTACCTTCGTTTACGTACCTTCCAACGTACCTTCCCTTGATTGTTGCCGCTTTGCGATCACATACCCCCTTTCCACCTTGAGGATCCGAAAAGTCGTTTCTTACAACAGCCACTCCCATGGTATCAACGGCCAGCTTAGCTGAGATGATTGAATTACCGCTGTGATAACAGCCAGCGTTATCTTGTTTGTAATAAGCCATTTCCAGCTCTGGAATTTCCTTTTTCAGGGTAGTGAGGCAGTCAAGCATAATCGAAGCCACAGTCACACTGTCTTGGGCGCAGCTTTGAAATACGTGAACAGGTGTCTGTGATTCAAAGTGCTCAGAACCCTCTGACCGTCTTATGGCAACGCTAAGGTGCCATGGCAATCCTCGCTTCGCAAACCAATCTGACTGCGCCTCTCGATATTTTCGGGGTATATATTTCATTGCCCAGTCCTGGACTAACAACACCGATCGGCTGTCGAGTTTGGCTAAAACTGAATGCTTCGCCTCAGCTTGGTGGACTGAACGTAGCTGATGGGCTTTCCAGCAAATGATATCATCCCTTGCCTGTTTGATGGTAAGTTCCATGTCAGCTTGATCTCCTGCTGACGAGAGCGCACTTGAACACTCATCTTCTATGGTACACAATACTTCCTGTAACTCATAACACTGCTCATATGGCTCATTGTGGAGATGGTCGCAGGAGCCCCGAAATTCAGCATTGCTCGGGTCACTTAGCGCGTAAATTCGACAATGATCGGAAACCTTTGAGGCCTCCACCGCATGTACCTAAAATAAAAAGTAAAATGACAAGCGCGTGATTCAATGTATATTTACAAAGCATTGCATGCGCATATGATCGACATTTCAAAAAGATTACTTAATCGATTCTCAGCGTCGTATACATGTGTGTAAGCGTATTGCAGTGAATTACAGGCTCAAAGTTGGTTTCACAGCAGTATTGTTGATACTATTGGACAATACGCTCTGGTATCATTGTTCTGATAACATTGGGTGTTTTTATGATCTCGCCAGTCGACAATTTTAGAAGTTTTTCCCCGAAAGGAACATCTTGAGTAACGTGTGGACTCGTTATGAAAGAAACAAAATGTTCTAATCTTACAGGTTCAATTCTCATTTTCTTTTTCTCCTGGTTTGGAAGAGGAGCAGCTCTTCTGTGTATCAGGCTTCACGAAAATCCCGCTTCTTGCTAAGATAAGTTCAATCTCTGTCTCAGCACCTGATAATTGTAAAAAATGCTTGTGGCTTCTCTTCCTAATCATGTAAAGATTAAGACATTCTTTTTCTGCTGGAGTTAAAGCAACCGTTGTCTTTATTCCCATCACCGACGATTACTACGCTTTTGTTCTTTGTTTACTTTCGTTAACCGATCACATTTGTTTTCCGTGGGAAAATTGTATCGTCATTTTCGTTCCATAAGGTTTTCACTGTACGGTTTATATTTGTGAAATTTTTGAAAGTCTATTTCCTTGTTGTATCGTTCTCGTTCATGATGGCAATAAATTTGTTTAGATCTTATATGTGAGGCAGAATGAATTGTTTGTTGATCTCGTTACGTGACAGATTATCATATTCATGCAGAGTGACAGGAACCTGTGAAAAATTAAAATCCGGCAAATAGCTAGCGTTACCTGCCGTTTTGTACGGGACCCTTTTTGTGTGAGACGTCAAAAAAAAAACAAAATTAGGATCAAAGTAGACTAAAGGTAACTGGGTTGTGACACGCTGTAGAAAATGACAACAACAAGTAACTTTATTTTACTCATCCCGGCTCAGTGGCTTCAACGAGTTAGCCGGTCGGCCCCCTTCACACCAAATTGCAAAAGACAGTATTTCGAAAATATCTTCCAAGCGGAATAACAAGGGCCTATATAGATATATAAAGATTTCTAAGGTAAGGAACTATTGATGTCAAAGCAAAATTAAAAAGCTAAGTGCGGCTGCGACTCAAACAATGCTTTGCTTGTGTCATTGCAATGTTGATTTTGTTCATTTCAATATGGCGCCATTTAAAATTTTAGCGAAGTTTGGTTGGTTGGTACATCAAAACAACAGAAGATACCAGAAAAATGAAACGATGAATTTGAAGACCCACCTTATAAGCCCTCGTGATAGTATTGCTGGAGATTTTGAGAAACTACCACATGCATTTTTGCCACACTACATTAGGCCGGGTTTGGCATGAATTAAATATGGCGAATACGTCCACTGGTAATTAACCCGTGGTTTCGTCAGGAAGGACACGATGTAAAAAATATCACTACAACTTGGTAATGGAAGGCCACATGTATATATTTATAGTTAGAGAAGTCCTGCTGTTGCATTTTAGTTCGTGCAAGGACGGCCTGAAAACTGTATAATTTAGAGCTCGCAGGCACTCATTTTCGATCATGTAATTAGTATCGGTTTATTTCCGTTAAAACTAACCTCACTTCACTTTAAGTAGTGCCTATAGCTACCTGTAGACAAAAAATGGGACGAAACGATTTTTTTACCATGTCC